GCAAGCACAAGAAGGAGATGCTAGACAGTCATTCTACTATAGGTGCCTTAATACTTAGAATAGGGTTTTGGGGCATATGATACGACAATTATAACAAGGACCCGCCCCCTCCCCTCCCCTCAAAAAAATAGTATAGTATAATAGTATAGTTACTTATTTAGGCCCTCCTGTATTAAAAGCATCCATGACAGCATGACAGGCGGCCATGTTGGATGATGTTCCTCTGCTGGATGCTCCTAGGCCGCATCTGGCTCGCTTCGTGAAGCGGGGAATCACGTAGTAGCTGAGTAGATCCACTTTGCACTTTTTTAGGATCATACTACCCACTAGAAAATTCCAAGTGAACACTTTGGGGGGGGGGGGGGCGGGGGATGGGGGGCTTATGAACTCAGCAACTAAGAATCAGCACATGCAAAACGTGGCTCCCGCCAAACTCCAGTGGCAGTTCGCAACTGGAGCCAAGTGAAGCCTTCTTAAAACTCAGGCCAGGTCGGGGCCTGGGCCGGTTTGATGTGATTCCAGGACACACAAAGTACATGAATCAAAGCATCGTATAACCCGATTAAAGCGCCAGTGCGATTGGATGAAACATATTGTGCTTTGCTTGGTGCATTTATCAATGCAGCTTTCGCACACTGCTGCCAAAACCTGCTCCAGATTTTTCGGCATATCGAGTTAAATTGAGCCTCAGTTGTCTATTGTGCTTTGTGGCCACCTTCTTTGAACAAACCCAAATCAGAGTGCAAGAAACAGAATTCATAATGTTTCAGTATTGTTCACACAGGCGGCTTGTGTCTGGCAATGCTGCTTTAACATGACTCGTGAAGCCGTGGGAAGTCTGCATGCTTGCTGCGCAAGAGTCGCTTGCATTCTTCGTCGTTTTTTTCGGTGTTGGGGACCTGACTGAAACTGTGATACTGCAGATAGCTCTTTGGCGGGTTCCGACTTGCACAAGGTCATCCAGCTGTACGGTGGTGCCAGCAGTGCCACAATCGACGGAGCCCGTGATGCCGACGGCTTTACCGCTCTCATGCAGGCAGTATACTTTGCAGCCTTCCAACGAACTAGGATCAATAAAATTCCACACTTCGACGGTTAAAATCGGGTTAAGGAACCATCAGCTGTCAAGCCACTGCAAGGATGAATTGGGGCTTGGGGTTTGGCAGATGCTGAGGTCTGGGATGTGCTTGCTCGCAAGATGTCACAGACCAGATGCTGCACGCTGTGGGTCGGATAAGCGCACAGCCTGGTTTCCGCTTGAGTCCCGAGCCGCCGAGGTTGAGATTTTACTGTGATAGGCCCACAAGTTGGTCTTGAAGGTCGTCCGCCTGCCTACTCTGCTCCAGTACAGGCTCTGTTGCTGAATAATACCGCCGCATCGGACTGGCTCCTTGCCTGCACATGGATGGCAGCCGAGCAGGTACCCTAAATAATCAGATCTCTGCTGCTGGAACTATGGAAGGCCCCTCAACTGGGCATAACTATTTAATCCTTTTCGTCTTTGGAATGTCTGTGTCGGGATTCCAGCTGGACTAGGCTGGCCCTGCATTCACAGAACGCCCTTCCCACCTCCCCACATCCTTAAAGCTGCTGTGACTGAACCAGACCATCCTACATAATGCCGGGGAGTACCCCATACCCTTATGCTGAGCCAGCCACTGGAGTGTATTGCGAATGCAACATCCGATAGTCATGCATGCTACATTGAGTACATTGCTAAACTCGCAGAACATGCCGTTAGGGATTCCCGGTAATGAATAATGCGTAGCTTAACAGATCTTTGCAGCTTATGTCGACCGGGTGGGTCACCACCCCAAGTCTGCGGAGTCAGGTTGCTTTCCAATGGCGCTGCGGTGACGCAGACGGACCTTGACGTACTGACCAGCCGGGGCGTGGCTGCGGGCCTGAATTCTGATTGTATGGTGTCTTTTTCCAGCAAGACCACGCAAAGGCCAGGTCTGGTTTCGTTATGGAGTTTGGTACCAGGAAGATTGCACCAACCGTAAACCCCAAAGCTACTCAAGGCTCAAGGTACACAAAGCTGTGCTTATATACGTTTATTCCTACACGACAAGTGTCCCCTTCTGCGCATGCGCAACCCCTTAGCGCAAACTGAAAAATTGGTGCAGTTCTTCGATGTGCCTAGCACCCTGAAGTCCGAAACTGGCAGTGTCGGACGGGCCTCATGATCCGACATGACAGCGTTGTACGAAGCCCTTTAACCCAAGACTCCTGATTCCTGCACTGTAAACTGATCCAAGATCGGCCCCAAGCCCTATGAGCTTGAAGTCAATCAACCCTAAACCCTTGAAAAGAAGGTCTGTGTTGCTTTGGATGAAAGAGATAGAGAGACAGAGAGAGAGAGAGAGAGAGGGAGAGAGTTTCACGCGCCTTTCATGGGACGAACTAGGGTCTGGGGGCTTAACTTCTCTGTGGGGTAGTGGGGCCTAAGGCTGCTTACTGGTGAATAGTCTGAATAGTCTTAGTAGCTGAGTGGAAAAAACTATACACTTTTTGGATAATGCCACCCACGACTATACAACTAAATGGGGCGGGGGGCTTATGAACTCAGCAACTAAGTATACTGGCGTTACACCTACATCTTGTTTGACAGCTGAGCTCATGGGACGATACCGGTTCGATGTAGCTGTTAATGTCTCGACAGATCAGAATCGCTGCAGACCTTGCCAGGCTTTGTCCGAGTATGAGTGTCAAAAAGCGCTAAACCCTATGAGCTGTAAACCCTAGACCAAATGAACTTGAAGCAAACAGCCGAGGAGTCCTCATTGCTCCCAAGTGCTGGGTCGGCCGCGCTGGCTTACCTCGGAAGGGGCTCATTCCCTTGGACGGGGTTTCGGGACTTTGGGCAAAGGAGTTAGGGTTTATCTGATTATAGGCGCCACGCAATATGGTTTGGAGTTTGAAGGCTTCGGTGCGAGAGATTTAGAGTTTTTGGCTGGTATGCGGCGTACGAGTTGAACATTGAGGTTGTAGGCACCCTGGGTTCAGGAGCTAAATTTCGGCTATATTGGCATTGTGGCCTGGATCGAGGCTCGAGGCTTTGTCTGTTGAGGCGTGAAAGTGCTTGCTGTATGTTCCCGTGGCTACCGATATGTCGCATTGACATACATGCTTGTGGGACCTGCGCAATGTGTTAGCGGCTAGCATCGGGTGGAATCTGCAAGATCATGGAACATGTCATTGCGATAGTAGTCATGTTCGTTTCACCGTGACAGTCGGCTTTCATAATCCTGTTCTTGCAGAGGCATCCGAGAGGCCAGGGCCTGTGGTGGGCTTGAGCCTTGAGCTAGGAATCTTCGACATGTTGATATCTGATGTGGCGCGTAGAGCAGGGGATGAACCCGAAATATTGATGACCAATTCAGATAAGTCATCTCCCGGAAGAAGCACCCTTGCGGAAGGACCGGGCCGAGTGCTGCTGACTTCGGGGGACTGCCGGCCGCTTGGTGGAACCAGCAAACCAGCAACCTCGAAGCGCGAGGGGTTAAACTTGATTACAATCAGCGCGGAGCTGCGGATCGCCGTCGCGAAAGGAAGAGGGCGAAACACAGTAGCTGGCGGCCTGGCGTCACTGGATGGCCCGGGTAGGTAACGTGGCGACGCTAGCTTCAAAGAAGCAGAAGGCCGCCCTTGCTGCAAGACAGCATGAAGCGGCCATTTCGTGCGACTGTGCGTGCTATACTCTCCGCACTATAGTCCTACTTGCTGTGCTTCAAAGCAAGACCCTTGAAAGCACTGGAAGTCGAGAGACAAGAAACGCCAACGATTTTTTGGGATCTGTCCAACGATAGATTAATGTCGAAGCGTGGATGATTCCGAGCCACGTTCCTGGGACACCCAGTAAGAATTGAAATTCAAGCACAATGCCACCTTCGTCAAGCAGCGTTTCAGTTTTGCGAGCGGGATTCGCCTGACCGCAGTTTCCAGTTATAATACATAATACAGCATGCACGGCAATGTACAGCACGGTGGGATATAAGTTCCATGGCCAAGACCCCTGCAAAGCCCGATGCAGAAAGGGCTACGCTTCTTTTGCGTCAAGCCTATGTAGCCCCCTTTGGCAGCAAAGCGCCTGACCAAGGTTTCCAGCCCTATGCCTACTACCACACTCTACGTGTGCCTCCGCTCGAAGTCGGTAGCATCGGACGGCAGGGCTGTGCGAAGATTCATAGAATGAGGGTCGATGTGGGCCTGGACACATATCCGCAACTCTCGTCGATCAGCGTTGCGCCTAGTTGATAATCACGTACTCTTGTCGATAACTCGCTGGCATTCAATCAGGTTATGCATAAGGTGCAGTGTGCCCAAGGTCGCATAAGCTTGTCTAAGGTTTTCAACGACGACAACAGCCACTCAGTCGAGCACCACGACTCTGACGGCCACTGTCACCAGCACCTTCACCACGACATAGTCTGGATATGCTGAGATACTCTTCACGGCCCTGAAGCAGCACTTGCTCACCCTCAGACAATGCTGACGATCGTGCTGCCCGACGGCGGATCTTGACGACGGCCTGTCTAAATCATGCCAGATGAGCGGACACTGGAGGTTTCTGGATTCAACGAGCAAGACGTGCGGGCCAAAGCCCCCGCCTTGGACATTTTGTGTGCTCATGGTCGTATGCCCGTATGCGCTGTCAACGATCTTCACGGCCTGGCGCCAGCGGCGTGCTGGAAAAACGTGTTACTTTTGCTTACTATGAAGACGTCGCACAGGGCGTGGATGTCAGGGATGGTTCGATCGGACGCACGAACAGCCAGCATCCGAAATCTGTATGCCCGAACCCATCGAAGCATCCTGTGTTGCAGCGCCCTGAAGTCTCCAGAGTAAGCTTCAGTGAAATTAACTCTCCTCCCTGTAAAGCTAACGTCAAGCCTCTAATAACTCCGATAACTCAATAGTAACTCCATAACTTCATTTCTCTATAACTTTATAACTCGAATAACGTCTATAACGTCCTAAAGTTCAGCGTTGCCTAGGACAAGGAGGAACACGAGGCAGACTGTCGCATCCGAGTCCTGCGGGCCGGGAGGCAGCTTTGTGTTGGGTTAAAGTTTAGGGTCCGGGTTTTTGAGGGGTTTAGGGGTTTAGGGTGTATAGGGTGTAGGGATTTCAAGGGTGATAGGATAGCATGCGAAATCCTTAGACTCCAGACAGCTAGACACATTCCTTCAAATCTTGTTGCATGCACCATATAGGTTCCTCGAGTTCGAGGTATTCGACTTTGGGATGTTGGAAGCTTGGAGGGGAAGGGGGGGGGGGGAAGCCTGGCTTCTGGCCAGGCGACAAGTCTGGCGTGAGCGCATCCGCCGTCGACGAGAGCTTGGGGCTCAGAATGCAGGCGGAGGAAGGCAAGCCCTAGTCGCAGCTCTGAGGGTTTAGTATAATCACTTTCTGAAGCTTACGCGCCCCGACTACAAGTGCTACGCCGTCTCGCTACCCGGGGGTTTGCATGGGCATCTCTAAGGATCCTACAAGCTGGTTTTACCCTGGGCTTTGGGGCTTAGGGCCTTAAAGGTTTTCTGGCGCCCTGCTGCTGTGTAGAAGATATGGGGTTTTTCCCAAGTTTCTCAGCGTGAGTTGCTGTCCTGCTTGAGTCGGGGTTCGAGTCTGACGCTGTAACGGCGAGCTTCATGGCGCTCCATGCGCCCGGTTGAAACGAGTTTTCCAACCACTCCCGATAAGAGCAGATGCTGTTTCCGAGATACGCGGCCGATGCTACCGGTACCCGGTACATACCAGTAGCAACACCACGAGACACAACGTTGAGTTGATTGAGGCGGCAAGCTGCTCCTCCCAAAGCGGAGGAGTCGCAGAAGGGCCTATATGCGAAGATGCCCCACGGCTGCAGCAGTACGCGGTTCGGCAGCTGGGGGCTCCCGTCTGTGCAAGAGGCCTCTTGTCAAACCTCTCCCGATTGGATACCTGCAGGAAGCCACACCGGGGATCGAAGTAGTCTGGTGCTGGACGCAATATGGAAAACCGGGGGTGGCAGACTTTAGCGGGAGCTCCTGCTGAAAAGTTTGTTTGTGCAGCCACAGTAGCGGAAGGGCGCCGGAGGTCTGAGTACTGCTGCTGCTGCTGCTGCTGCTGCTGCTGCGCTAGCGCGACTACCGCACAGCGACTCTACCGCATCGCATCTCTTCAACCTCCTACTACTACTACTACGACTACTACGACTACTACTACCACTTCTCTTACTACTACTGCTACTACTACTGCTACTACGACGACAACTACCAATACCACTGCCACTACCAGTAGTCTTACTACAACTGCTACTTCTTTTACTACCACTGCTACTGGTACTGCTACTGCTACAGTAGTACTGCTGCTGCTGCTGTTACTACGACTACGGTGTGGGTGGCGGCTGCTGCCGTTGTTAAATGATAATAATATGCGCAAGCTTCATGCATTTTCATGTACAACAAGCATGCCAGCCGCAGCAGCAGCGACAGGCACTGTACATTCAAGTCTTTGCTGTTCCAGCCTTGCTGATTGCACAGACTGTCTCTTTGCCACTTCCCACAACCGAAACCGTGGAGTTGCACTGTGGGAGGCGATCGCAGCTTGCTGACATGGACGAGGAAGCCCGCTTCGCCCTTGGATGCTTAGATTTAGAGGTTTGGACCGGTTCCAGCACTATAATTCCTCATCAAGGCAGAGATAAATCCTAAAAATCCCTGAACAGAATGGGGGTTCTGGAACATCTTACGTTGAGCTTTGCAATGCATCGCATTCCTGCATCCTTGCTCGTTTCAGCTCGGTTGTGGTTCCCAACCCTTGCCTAATCCCTTCCACCTTCTTTGAAACCCTCCCGAACCCCTATTCTTGAACCTGATTTCCGGGCACCGGTTTTAATATTAGCCGAGAAAGGGGGGGGGGTGGGCATCCGGATGTGGGCCCTAACCCTCAAGCCCTAATTAAGCCCAAGCCTTATAGGCCCTAAACCCTGAAGTTTTGAGTGTGAGCGCCGAAAGTCTTGTTCCTTTCGGTTTATTGCTACCTAAAGCCCTAAACCCTAAAACCCTACAGCCCTAAACCTTAAGCCCTAAAACCCTAAACAGTAAAGTCCTTGCCCTGTGGGTTTAGTGCTGCTGAAGTCTTGGCTCTATCAAAAACTCATACAATCGCAGCTCCCCCAATGTTTCAAGCAACTTCCAACTGTGGGCCCACAACTACACAATTCCGGGGGCCGGAGTTTTTAATACTAGCGGGAAGCGGTTGACCTTCTGCAGCACTGGATATAACCGACGGTTTTGCAACGGGTTGGGGCATCCTGAAGTAGCCAAGAATATCAGGCGCCCTTGAAGAGAGTATCGAAGAGCCGCGGCCTCAGATTGAGGGAAAGCTTAGATGCGGTGTTGGCTGATGTGTTCCTTGATTTCCAATGGGTGCAAGGGTGGTGTATAGGGGCTATGGGATGTATTGGGTGAACGGTTTTGAGTTTGGGTTTATTGCTTTGTTTCTTCTGTATGTTCGAGGGGCAGAGCCCGCATGTTCCCTTCTCCAACCCGTGGGTACAGCTACTGTGTGCAGAAGCTTGCTCTCCAGATGGGTGGTTGTCAAAATTATGGTCCCTTTTGGGGTCCCTATTATAGTACGGCACCGATTATTTAGGGTACCCAAAAAGGGACCCTAATTTTGACAACCACCCAGATGTACTGTCTTGAGACACTGATGCGCCAGTTGTGCGAGTCGAAACCCGCACTGTGCAGAGAACCCCCTTTAGATAGTCCGAAACAGCCGCGATGTTTGTCTGCGGAAAGCCTGCAGCCAATTTTACGGAACATGCTTGTTCAAATCATATAGAAGCTTGAATCTTGAATACGTAATTGCCGATCTCATTCTTCCAGGCTTCCGCGACTAACAACCATCTCATAGGTCGTGTCCATAATCTATCCGCCAAGCTCCATAGCCCAAACCCTAAACCCTAAATACCCTATGTACCAAGTGCTGAAAACCACTACCCCTAAATACCCTAATGCCTCGCCTGGATTGTCCGAGTGTGAGCGCCGAAATACCCTAAACCCCTGATTGTCGTGTCCCTCTTTTCTCGGGGTCCTCACAACGAGGATCTTGCTGAGCTCTGGGGGCACTTAATCTATGGCCCGTCGAGTTTGAATGGGATTTCTGAGGAAGGGTAGGTTAGACCATAATTTAAAAACCAGGACCCCTCCCCAACAAAAAAGAAAAACACATAATATATATATAATATCGCCAGGGTAATCATTTAGGCACCTGTATATTTATACTCGACGCACGGACCGAATATTAACATGTCTGCTTGGGGAATTTGGTTTGAGGCGCTTTGTGCCCACCTTCATTCTCTCCTGGACGATTGCAAAAGTAGCGATTCTTTGTTCATACCGTCGGTAGTGTTTTTGGGCGTGTAGACTGCTTCCAGTCTCCTTTTGCCTTTGCAGGCTGTTGCATGCGGCTAACAGGCTAACATCCCACCGCAGTCGGACTGAAGCATCCGTCTTGCAGGACAATCGAGACAGCCCCTAAACCCTCAACCCTAAACTTGACAGCTTGCAGACACCGTGAAAAAGCTTCCATGGGAGGCGCAATGCCGAGCTGGCAGGGCTCCGCACGCAGCAGCAGGCAGCATCTGGGAGTCGGTGTAAGAGAACTATATGTTTATGTATCTGTCTATCTGTCCGTTTATCTATTTATCCATCTATCTATCTATCTAACTGCCGTTTATGCCTATATGTACACATTACATACACGAAAGTATGTATTTGTGCCTGCGTACTTGATCAGATTTTTTCGCTTCGGGTTCGTTAGGGGGAAGCGGTTACACCCAGACGCATGCGAGTCTGTGGAGATCCCAGGACCGATGCCAAATTTGCCTGAGCTGCTCCGCCTACATGTGTTTGTGTCCGTTTGCCGTCATACGCCAGCATGCGTGCATCAATCCTGTGTGTGCGCGGTGGATGAAATTCGGTTTTCAGGGCTCAGCATGGTGGGCAGCCTTATATAGAATTAATTAGGCGGTGACGCAACGGCGTTAGCACTCCTTACTACCGGATTCCTCAAGCGAGCATTAAGCATTGAGAATTCCAAGGCCGTAGCTCGAGGCTTTAGCCTCGCAGCATCTCCCTACCACGCCTTCAATAGTGCAGGCGACACGAGCAGAGATTGCCCAGCCAAAGCCTCAGTTTCTGCCGAGCAGTGATTTCGTAGCTCAGGCTCAATACGGAGACCAAGCCGTGGCTCTTCTTGAAAAGGTTGAAAAGTATGTTTGCCTTATTGTCGAGACCAGCTGTGTCAAAAATCAAGCGTGAAGGTACAAATGGGTGAGGGAAGCCGGATATAGGCGTTGAGTTGGGGGGTAGTTTGGACACTGCCCCATGTCCCCTTGCATTTTTGTTTGGCCAAATTCTCCGGTGTGACTTCAGAGGCTTGGTAGAAGATATAAGGTCCTGAGATAGGGGCCTAAATGATTACCTAGACTGTTTTTGAGGGGGTTCCTTTGTAGAGTTGTATTTTAATGTATTATTGGGCCCCAAAACCCTGTTCTAATTATCAAGGCACCAACATAGTAGTACCCTTGTAGTAACCCTTATAGACCCCTTTAAAGGAACCCTGTTCCAAGTATTAACGCCCCTACATTACAGACCGAAGCCTAGGTGGAGCCAGCGCGTGAAGGAGCTGGAGGTTCGGGCCCGGGTCTGGGTTTCAAAGTGCGGTCTTAGACACTTTGTCAGTGAGCTTTTGTAACTATAGTATGGTAAGTTATAGTAGATTATAGTATTTTGAAGTATTTTAGTGAACTACAGTATGGTAAGTTAAGCATTCTAGTGAACTATAGTATGGTAAGTTACAGTAGATTATAGCATTTTGAAGCATTTTAGTCTACCAGAGTATACCATAGTTTTCAGGCCTTGCGGTCGCGATGGGCCTTGGATGGAGGCACCGAGACTTAAAGTGCAGGAACTTCTCTGCCTTAGATTCGGGAGAGGATACCGAGATATACCATGGTAGCCGACGCCTTAATGATCAAACTTGGGTTCGGCGGGTCCATGCTAGTAGAGTTATAAGGAAGGACGCCAAGAGATGTTACTGTAGAGTTATCATGAGAAACACTACCTCCGTCTCACAGGCAAAGGCAGTCGACGACCGCCTCCAAAAATCGACGTCGTCCGCCCAGGTAGGGAAGGGCCTGACATTTTTTTGCATTGTAGCTCTCATAAGAGCTAAGTGTGTATATTATAGTTGTTTTTGAGGTCCGTGTTATTGGTTATATTGTTTATGCAAGTGGTGAAGGTGTTTTAGGCCTTAGTGGTTTTGACTAGAAGACGAAGGTGGTTTCAAGTCACTTTCGGAGCCTTTTAGTCTCATCCCGTGCAAATTGAACTGCATCTCGGTATCGCAGGTGCTGGAAGAGCTAGATCTCAGACTCCCGAATTTCATAAGACTGTTCGGTGCCATTAAGGGTAGTTGTCAAAATTGAGGTCCCTGTTTGGGTACCCTAACATTAGATGCCGTATTTTAATAAGGACCCAAAAAGGGGTCATAATTTTGACAACCACCCATAAGGAGCTACAAGTGTTCGGGCCTCATGTCAGCACGAAGGGTTTTTCTGCAGAGGTTTAGGCCGGACATAGGTTAGATCACATACGTACATATGATTCATACTCACATGTACATATTAATAATAATATATATATATATATATATGTACATAATATACATGTGCGCGTACACACATAGATTCGCATGTATGTATGTTTGTATGTGCATATGTCTGTATGTATGTCTTACTTTGAGCACGCAATAAGCTTACCACTAGTTTTGACGGTGCTCCTATGACCACCGGTAACCTCGAGGATTCCTCTTACCATGAGAAACCCGAATGTTAACCTGGCTTATTCTTCGTTTCCGTCGGGCCCAATTCAACCATTTTATGAAAAGATGGGGTCCAAATAACTGATGGGGGTCCGCTTCAAAAACCCAATTCTTGAAAGGGTGGAAGGGCCCCAAGGGGAAAACGTTTAAGTTTTCAGACCTGCTTCAAAGCAAACTATTTGACAAGTTCGGCGGTTCCGAATAAATGAAGCAAAAAGTGGTGGTGGCGAGGGAGATGCCTAGGGCCCTGACGATAGTGAGTTAGCGATGTGGGAGTTTCCGACAAAAAAGGGGTACCTTATCTTGGGTCTACTTCTAATGTTTAAAAGGGTGCTACTATTCCAGGTGCGATTATTAGGGTCCCTGTTTTCGGAAACTCCCGCGTTGGTTGACGTGGGGATGACCATGTCAAAAGCCAGGCTTAATAATTCGTTTTGCTATTTCAAAACCCTATTCTGGTGATTAAGGCCCCTACATTACCATGCCCCCGCGCGTTTCATTGCTGATCATGGACTACTTGAGAAAGGTTATGGCGCCACATTAACTGTAGCTTTGGCGATGATGAGCATTCGGGCGTTGAAGGATATGATATGCATTGCAGCACCCATCGACTTTCAGTATTCAAACCCGGAGAGTGTTCTCATGCAGCCTTTTTACATTCTACGGTCTTCTCATCAATTCAAAGCTGGATTGACGGACACCCCAAGGCCCATGCATTGTCTTCAATTCAGGGAGAAACTCACCCATGGCTGGCTACCCCTAGTGAAATCATCGTCCATACCCAGTTTTGCAGACTGCTCAGTGACGCACAAGTACTAAGGTACTACGAGGGCACACCGCGAACCCCAAGCCCTGGACTCGCTACCTTGACCTGGTACGAGTGTGAGCGTTCAAGCCATTTTGGAGCCATTTTGGCTTTTGCCGAATCAACCTCCGCTCTTTCGGGACGGCAGAACGCTGAAAGGAGGGCGAAGGCTGGCTGAGGGGTATGGGTTTTAGGGCTATGGGTTGTTGTATGATAGAATTTGCAGGATCTATAGAACTTCCGGCAGGCTAGCGTGGTTGAACTCCAGGCTGAGTGAAGATTCTTCGTTTAATCTTAAAGTGTGAGGAATCAGCTGGCGGCATGCTTTGTCTTCCAAGCAGGACATTTTCATTGGCCACTCCGGCTTCGGATGAAGGTCTACGTGAAAGAATAGGTGAACGGTGGCTATACTAGTACCAAGTCATATGACATAACAGACTAGGACAGCACAGCACAGCACGATCCAAGCATGGAGAAGCATCGGGTCGGCAACTGAGCAGATAGGGCAGAGTGGAACAGAGCACAGGAAAACGCGCCATAATCTGTAATGTAGCTTCATTGTCGCGGAACGTACTGCAATACAGAAGATTATGTGATGCTTAAACGTATGGTAATGTGTTGCACAGCAGCATCATACATGCAGGAGAGTGAATTACTACAGTTATGTGATGTGCCATAACGTAGACCTCATACGATGTAGTCACATGTAGTCACCAGTATAAGATAAGGCAACATACTTTAGCAGTATATTGCGGGTGACGTCATACCAGATTCCACCACATCACGTCGTACCATGTCATGCCATATCCTATTATGTTGCATTGTATCATCTGCAAGCAAAGCACAGTAAGATAATTTAACAGCAGAGTCGCAGATTCAACGGTTCAGGGTGTAGGGTCCAGCCAGTCGTGCTTTCGATGGGAGTCCTGGTGAGGAGCTGTCCAACATCTTCGACCGGTCACGCATGGACCCCGAGGCCAAAGCTCAGACATTGAACGAGTGGAAGCCGTATTATGATCGACCTGTTAAATGCAAAGTGCCGATTGGCAGCATGTATAATATGGGATATATATATATATATATATATATATATATATGTATACACACATACAAATGGGAGTTTCCGAAAATAGGGGGTACCCTACTATAGTACCTTAGATAGTAGGATGCCCGCTATAAGGAAAATAATGTAGCCCGTATTTTCGGAAACTCCCATCTACACATGTGTGTATATGTTTACTTGGCTATGTAGATGCAGTGCCGGGGTTGGCATACCCGTTGCCCACACCCACTGTGCATGGTCCCCGGCTTGAAAGGGCTTCATGGTAAAACAAGAAAAAACCACCCTGTCTTTCTGTAGAACGACGTGCAGCCTCCCTCGTATGGGGTTGGACAGGGCGGTAGAGGGGGCTTACGGATAATCCAAGGCTTGCGAGGGTGGTTCGAAGGGTGGTATGGGCCGCGTCAACGCTGGCAATGGCAAATATAAGGGGGCGAGAACTCGGGACCCGGAGGACACACACAGACACAGACAAACGGATGTTTGTATGTGTATGTTTGTTTGCTCGGTTGCTTGTATGCATACCTGCCTGTTTGTCGTTTACACAAGGAATCACAAGGATGTATGTATATGTGTTTTCTACTTCGTCTTTTCGTCAAGCACTACTTCACTATGCCGGTGACTGCGTACCTGGTCGTACTAAAGTTCCGAGTTTCCAGTCGAGGTTGAGCGGGATCAACATACATGTTGCATTTGGACACGAACTGAGTAGATAAGATACAGGAAAGTAGGCACTGCTCTTGGAGTAATGACAGAAACGAGCTGCCCCTCACCTGCACACCAAGTCGCAACTCTCCCAAGTCACGAGCTAAAGGATAGGATTGCAGGAACTTCACTGTACCTCAACCTCCAAAACTCCCAAAACCTAAAACCCTAACCCTAAAACCACCCTAAACCCAAGAGCCAGGCCTTCGCCGACGATCTCCGGTCCCTGGCCTCGAAGCACCAGCGCCAGCCCTGCCCTCAGGGACCTGGAAACCGAAGCATTTTTCAGTCGAGGCCTTCAGATTCGAGATAGATTCGAGGGCGAAGCCTTGAGATTGGAAACAGGCCTTTAGAGGGGTCCGCAGGGCTTTTGTAGTGACAGCTTAAACTACACAGTATAAAGTTTCCCCAGAGTAGCACGGGTGGTGTCTATTGAGTTTAGAGGTGCAAGGGGAATCAGCTGTCCAAGAGAAGGGTTGAGAGAAATTTCAGGATGTACAGGACTGAGTTGATAACACTGATTTTTGCACGTCTACAAAGCTCGCAAACCCCAAACCGTGCTTTGCGAGCACAGCAGGGTATCGACAGCGTAGGTGCAAGCAAAGGCTCGGTACGAAAAGGAGCATTGCTAGCGCGAGCATGTGCTGGTACATTCCCGAGGTAGCTCACACGCTTTACAAGTAATACGTGGTGGTTGTCAAAGTTACGGTCCCTTTTGGGTCCCTATTATAGTACGGCACCTATTATTGAGGGTACTCAAAAAGGGACTTTAATTTCGACAAGTACGCACATGCCTGCCTGTAAGCTGGCAGACGAACCTATGCGGTCCTGCGTTTTTTGGGAATGTTGCATGGCAGAATTAGAATTGTCCTTTGTCCCTGCGAAGAGGTGTTGTGAAATTGCGCTTCTACCCCAGAAGCCTAAACTTCTAGGCCTCTACATATCGCGTTGCAAGCTGCCAATGCTGACCAGGCTCTTGGAGCTCGCGACCTCTCAGAGTGATGCGCTGCTAGCGGTGGTTCAGGCTTTTGCTGGAGGCCCCATATGTGACTACCGATTCAGAAGCCGCAAGCATATGCTTTCGAGGTTGGGTTTCTGGAACCTTGATGTCGTCCTGGCACTATCGTCATGGCTCAAGCCGGATTGTGCGACACAGTCGTTCGTTGCCTCGACACTTCTCAACTCACATACGAAGATGGCATGGTATGTCTTCACCTTGCCTCGTCAAGCCAGTCCTTGCTACTTGTAGCTGCAATTCATTTCGGATTGAGGTGTGTATTGGCTGTAGCTTCAAATCCAGCTTCTCACTACCTGTTTCACCCAATAGGGCTCCCGTTGGGGAGCACCCCAAAGAAGGCCCGGGAGCGGAGGCGGAGCGCGTCCGCAGATCATGCAACCAAGTGATGCATCGGGTCATGGCAAGAAAGCCAGCAGCGTGTCTGGCAATTCTTCTCATTCTTCGCGCCGGAGCCTGTTGTCTCTGTCGCCTGAGGAGCGGGAGTTGACCAACGAGTTGAGGTCACGGCAGCTCTCACTGGCGGGCTTGCAGAGCGGTAGTACAAGCAGCAGCGGGTCTGAGCCCCGAGACAAGCTGCAAGCTGCGGAGGCGGCAGAGAGAGCAGTGGAAGCAGCGAGATCCTCACAGGATCCCGTAGCCACTTCCGCGTCCCGGCAATCGAACCCGTCAAACCAGACCCAATCTCAAAAGTCCCAAAGCAGCAGCAGCAATAGC